GAAATGAAAAATAGCTAAATATTTTTCAGCAATCTCTCAACAAGAAGATATGCAACATTTAAAAACTCAAAAGACAGGATGGCCCTGTAGGTATGGTACGGCACTCAGACTCAAGACTTTTGTTCAAATCTCTGCTGAGCCACAAACTTCCTCTATGACCTCGAACGAGTTACTCAATCTCACTGTATCTCAGTTTCCCCTGGGCAAAATGGGGCTATTACCATTTCCCGTCTCTCATATCTGTTTAGATTGTAAGCTCTTTGGGAGCAGGGACTATCTCTTGCTAAGTGTTTGGATAGCATCTAGCAAAAGGGAGCCCTGATCTTGTTCAGGACCTCTAGGTATTACTGTAATGCAGATAAATAAGATACAATTTTTACCATTAATTCTTTGTATTAAGACAGAATACCATAATAAAAATTAAAAAGCTATTATACCATTGGTTTGTAATCAGAACTCCCCCAGGTACGTCTGATTTTAAAAATAAATTACAATTTTGCCTACTGATTTTAAAAAGTAAGACAGTGAAACAGCTTTCAGTATCCTTTTCACTTGAACTAACACTGGCATTACGTACACGAGGGCTACGTCTACACTGGCCCCTTTTCCGGAAGGGGCATGTAAATTTCACTAGTCGTCGTAGGGAAATCCGTGGGGGATTTAAATATCCCCCGCGGCATTTAAATAAAAATGTCCGCCGCTTTTTTCCGGCTTTTAAAAAAGCCGGAAAAGAGCGTCTACACTGGCCCTGATCCTCCGGAAAAAGTGCCCTTCAAAGTAGGAATAAGACCCTCCGGAAAAGGGCACTTTTTCCGGAGGATCGGGGCCAGTGTAGACGCTCTTTTCCGGCTTTTTTAAAAGCCGGAAAAAAGCGGTGGACATTTTTATTTAAATGCCGCGGGGGATATTTAAATCCCCCGCGGATTTCCCTACGACGACTAGTGAAATTTACATGCCCCTTCCGGAAAAGGGGCCAGTGTAGACGTAGCCCATGTGTATTGGATAAATTAACTAGTACTACCTGACACAACACAGCAATGGTATGCTTAAAGCAGGGGCGGGGAACCTTTTTTGGGTTGGGGGCCACTGACCCACAGAAAAAAAATCAGTTGGAGGCTGCACACAAATGAGAAGCAAACATACAAACAAAAACAAAAAACCCCTCACTGATGTGGCCCCTGGCCTGAGAAGGAAAAAGACACTCTGAACATTTCCTTCACACACTAGAGCTTAGGGGTGTCCATCCTAGTAGATTTTGTGGGATGGTGGGGGAACTGGAGCACCAGCATGGGCTTCCCAATGCTGGGGGAGGAGCTGAGCCTTGGGGGCCGAATCCAGGCAAGCCAAGGGTTGCATCAAGCCCCTGGGCCTGAGGTTCCCTACCCCTGGTTTAAAGGAATACCAGTGAACAGCCTTCTCAGATGGGAGGAGGCTATGAATATCATGGTGCCTGCTGGAACTGGTGAAGTAACAGGGCCATTTTTTTAAAGTACCTGTACTAGTTGGTGCAGGGTCTGACTCAAAGGACTGATATTTTTCAAAAATCACTAATCTACAAGGCAAATCTAGAACATTAGTCAGGGCTAAAACATTAACTAACCAAAGAAGAATCACAAGAGGCCACTAAAAACTCTCAGCCAAGAAAAGTGTGTAAATGGGATAGGCTATCAACTTATTTAATCGATTCCTAATATAACAATATTGATGATCCATTATTATCCATTATTGATGATCCATTATTATATCCAATTAAAGCTTTCAAGACTCTTAGGGTAAGTTCAGCCAGCACGTGTTTGAGCCTGCACTCAAGCCCACCCCTCCCTTGCATCCACACACTAGCTTTATTAATCTAGGTATAGGCGCTAGAACCAAGGGTGCTTCTGCACCCCTGGCTTGAAGTGGTTTCCAATATTGACAGGATTTCAAGTTTGGTTCAACTGCTCTCAGCACACCCACTATACAAAGTGTTGCAGCACCTCTGACTCTAGGGCTCAAACCTAGAATTCCTGGATCCTGCAGAGCTGGAGGTCCAAGCCCAGTGGCTTTTCTGCATGTATGCAGCCCTCCCTTGACTCAGACAGCAGAAGTCCTCTGTATGTATCCCAGACTCTTTGGAGCAAATTTCTTAGTCTTCTCTATGCCAACAATCCTTGATGTAGTCTATTGGCAGTGCCAATGGGAACAAGTCAGAACAGTGTTAAACCCTGGTTTGCTGTACACCTATGTGTTCCCAGGGCTGGGGAGGGCTGGAGATGCGCACTTCCCGTTGGAGACGACGGTGGCCTGCTCCTACGATGCGGGGCAGCTTAGCTCCCACAAGGACCTGAGCAGCAGGGGTGGGGCTACAGGCAGAAGGAGTAGGGTGGGGTCTTACCTCCTCCAGCCCTATATTCATCCACTGCGCATGCCTCAGTTGCTCCCTTCAGTGCAGTTGCCAGATCTCCACTTTACATTCTGGCCCCTGCTGTGCTCCCAGGGGTTGCGTGGGTAGGTGTGCCCAGGAAGCAAATGGGAGCCTGCCCCAAAATCTGCCCTCAGCTTCCTGCAGTTGGCTCCTTGCTGCTGAACAGAGCTTGCCTGGAGCAGGGTGCAAAATTGAAAGGTGGGAGGCAGCTCTTGGCTGCCAGGATGGTGGGGATCATCCCTCCCCCAGCTGTGCTGAGGAGAGCAGCTGCTTGGTCCTGCCCTTGCTCCCAGCTCCTCCATCCCTGATCTTCCTGGAGTTGCGTGTACTGGGGTGCCTAGTTAGCATGCGTTCTAAGTGCAGTGAATGGGACTCATCCCCAAAATGTCCCCACACCTTCCTACAACCTCTTATCCTTGCCTCCTGGGGTGCATCCAGGGCAGGGATACAGAGTTGGAGCACACTGCATCTCAAACCCTGTGGGTGCATTTCATTCACAGTCAGCAACAGCCAGGGGGGGAGGGAGGGTTGCTTTTTCTTTGAAACTTATATTTTGTCAAACTTTGGAACAATCCAAAATAAGTAAATAAACCAACTAACCAAAAACAACTACTCTGAACATTCCATTTTAAAAATTAACAATTGCAACAAGGTTTCATTTTAATAGCTGGACAGCAGTGGAGACTGATATCCTAATTATCCTCAGAACAGGTGCACCTCCAGCTCTGCCCATTCTTCCGAGGCCCCATCACGGGGAAGTGGAATGGCATGCGGCCCAAGCCTGTCCAGCCCCAGAGCAGGGGGAGGGCAAAGGGCGTGTGGCCTGAGCCTCCCTGGTCCCAGAACATGAGGAGGGCGGAGGGCATGCAGCCCAAGTCTCCCCAGGTCTTGAGCACAGGGAGGGCAGGCACTTGGGGGCAGCAACACTCTTCCCCCTCCCCCCCAGTACACCTACAGTAGGTGTTCTGGAGGCAAAGTATGGGTGGACCCAGGCTGGCAGTTGGGAAAGGCAATGCCTTGCCCCACCTAGCATACCCGCTGCCCATGCTGCTTCTCTTTCAGACCCCACGTTGCCATCAGCATGTGTGGATGCTGTTTGTGGGCACTTTTGCTCACAAAATACTTCCATCCCCTATCAGATATGTTGGCATGGAATATACAAATTTAGGGCAGAGCAAGGTCCATGTAATCAGGAACTTAACAGCTATATTAAAAGTTCATTATATTCTTCTCTGTTACACCTCAGCCTCCCACTAACTGGGCTGGAAGAACATACAAAGCGGGCAGGAGTTTTTGCCTCAAAGACGGGGCAGCCTGTGAGCCTAGGCGAGCTAGGCAGTTGCCTAGGGTGCCGCTGCCCCATGCACCCCGTGATGACGTCACGGCCATTGACGACCGTGCAGGCAGAGGCGGCTGCTGCAGCTGGCCTCGGGCCGCTCCTGCTCAAAGAGAATGTTTGTGCGGGGTTGGACTGTCAACTTTCTAAAAGCCAAAGACCCTTACCCCACTCCCTGCCTTTTCCATTCTTTGAGGCTACATGCTCACTTTTTCTGCCCTCCCTCTGTCCAGGGCCGGCCCACAACATTTTGGCACCTGAGGCGGGGAGCTGAAATGATGCCCCATGCCTCCTTGCTTGGGCCAAAACTTTGAAAGGTCTCAATTCTGCCTTCTACTTGTTGTACTCCTCTCATGGTACTGCTCTGCTACCTACATATGCACCAGCAGCAGACACAATTTTCTACACTCTGGGTCCCAGTAGCACCCCTTCCCCCCAAGTCTGGCACCTGAGGCGGTCGCGTCAGTTCACCTCAAGGTAGGGCCAGCCCTGCCTCTGTTCTTGCTCTCCCCCACCCTCATTTTCGTCGGACAGGGGCAAAGGGTTGGGATGAGGGTGATGGCTGGAGCTTTGGGGTGGGGCTGGAGAAGAGAGATTTGTGGTGTAGGAGGAGGTTCTGGGCTGGGTCTGAGGGGTTCAGAGTGTGGGAGGGGGTTTGGGTGTGATGGGGGTGTCTGGGCTGGGGCAGAGGGTTGGGGCACAGGGAGGGATTTTGAGATGTGGGTTCTGGGTGGTGCTTACCTTGGGGGGCTCCTCGGAAGCAGTGGCATGTACCTCAGTTCCTTGGCAGAAGTGTGGCCAGGCAGCCACACTGCATCTCAAACCCTGAATCTGCATATTGCCTGCCCCATAGCTTCTGTGACCATCCCTCCCCCTAGGAGCCACAGGTCAGGTCACTGCTTCTGGGAGCTGTGAGGAGCCAGGAAGGGAGCCTGTCATCTTTGTGCCAACTGGACTTTTAATTGGAGCTGCCACTGTCCCTTTCCAGCTGGGTGTGCCAGGGGAAAGCCAGACACCTGGCAACCCAAACTGAGGGAGTTGTGATGGACACAGATTTATGAGGCTCTCAGCAATTCCCTAATCTACCTTAAAATATTTTTTGTTAAAATTAATACAATTTGCATTAAGCAGCAAGGGGGCCAGAGTTTGCACCTGTGTAAACACCACGTTTCAGTGCTGAGGAGGAAAGGCCGTTTTGATGCATTTCACTCCAACAGTAACGGAATGCTAGAGCCAGAAGGTTCCATAACAGTTGGAGATGACAGTTGTGCAGCTGGCAGGAGAGCAGTGCTGTGTGGGATAGGGGGTAATATGTAGCCACCTTAATATTTGCACAGGGTCACCAGTACAAGCCTGCCCATGCTACTCAGGCCACACTGCTAATTTATTGCACTAGCTTGAGCAGAGCTAGCACATCCATAGCAATCTAAACTGGCAATTACGCCTGCCAGCTGCAGTGCAGACAGCTCCCTGGTGGCCATGGCAATAGAGTGGAAACAGGAAAAGCTCACCAGTTTCCAACCCCAATCCCAGGCTGCAAATGAAGGTAGGTTAACAGCAGATTCAGAGAACTGTCAGGGAACAGAAATCTGGAGAAGGACAAGGACCCATATGTTATCCTGCTGCTGCATTACATACTACCAGATATCTTTGCAGCCTGTGTCTGTCTGGCTTCCTGCAGCTGATATGCCAGTGGGAAATGATGGAAATCCCACCTTGTGCCAGGAGCTGCTGGGCTCTGACCAGGCTTTCTGGTTGGGTGAGGTTTTTCTCGCTCAGGCTTGGAGCTTTCACTTGTCTCCGTGTACCTTAAAAAAGGAGTTCTGGAGAGGCAACTAAACACCAAACAGCACTCCATAAGCTGTGACAAGGGACCCCCACACAGGAAAGAAACTGTCATATATCACTGAAAAGCTTCAGAGGGGTAGCCGAGTTAGTCCGTAACAGAAAAACTTAAAAAACAACAAATAGACAAGTAGCACCTTAAAGACTAAACATGTTTTATATATTGTTGAGTTCGCTTTGCGAGGGGATTGGGTACCTGGGTTACTGGGTTAGGATTTGTGATAGAGTGAAACCTGGGAGGGGTGGGGAGTCTAGGGCCAATTTTGGGGACTTTT